ATGACAGGGCGTATTTCTTTTTCAACCTGTATTTTACCAGTGCTGGCTTGCCACATAAGCAACCTCTCGATAAATGTTTATGAAATGGAATGAAAACCCCTGAAAGTAGCAATCAGAGGCCTAGTTTTTGTGCTCTAAGTACTGCTATAGCATAGTGTTTTCCCTCCTTCTGAATTTTTGTTTATAATAAGAAAACCCGATGAAGAGAAGTTCGAACGATAGAAAATGCTCCTGGGAGATGGCCTTTGTCCCCAGGCTCAGGGATGTGAAGCAGGGAGGTGGTGAGTGATGAAGTGGTGGGGACCAGACTAGTGCTGATCCAGCAACATCAGTGAGTGCGGTTGCCTTGGACATGCCCGACGCAGGCGAACCTCCCACGCTGAGACCGCTGTGGGAAGAAACGAGAGCGCAGCGCACAGCCGCAGAGCAGCCCAGGGCAGCGGTGGCTTTGAGAGGAGCGGTTGCTTCCCGATGCTCCTCCACCCGATCGCCCCGGAAGACCGCGGGAGAAGCGCGTCATGGGGGTGCTGAGTGCTGATGTGCTGTTTGAGCCCAGGGTCTTTAGAGCTGCTTATGAGCGAATCATGGAAATGGGGGGGATGCGCCATGCAGAGAGTAAGTGAACAGCCGGTGGGTGGGTTGTATTTGGAAAATGCCTGGTTCTTCAAATTCAGCAGAACAGTGTCTTAGTAAAAGTCGCTGAGTGTAATTTTCGTTTCCTCGGTGTCAGTGTTGACGGGTTGACGAGGGAGGGAGAAGAGGGTGAAGCTCACTGAGGGAAAGTATGGTGCGTCTGCGGTGGAAAAGCATCTTGCGGGAAAGGTCACATGTGCCCATCTCTTCGGGATACATGCCCCGGTGACCCACGTGCTCGCTGAGCATGACTCATTCAGGGACTCCTGTTGAAAAAAGAAACCTAGAAACACTTGCATTTGAGAAACTAGGACAAAGGATATACAAGCTTTTTTCCAGACCTGGGCAATACGGAAGAATTTACCAATATGTATGATTGCTTTGCGTGTGTGATTGTGTGTGTGCTGGGGTGGGGTGGGGCGGGCAAGCTGGGAGTCTGTCTCTAGCACACTCCAATTCCCTTTGCACTTTGGTTTATCAGATGTCACAAATTGCAATCCCCTAGACATATACCCTGTGTTTCTTCACTCTGAGCCCCTTCCCTAGGGTAGCATCAGGTTCCTCACCGGCCTTTTGGAGCAGCTGAGTGAGCCCTACTCTCTGGCAATAAGAGGGAACTTGAGCTGTTAATAGAGTTAGAGTGATTTTTTAAAAAGTCTCCTGAGACTACAATAAACCCATTAACTCAGTACCCATCCAAAGTGACCTCTCTCCCCTTTCAGTTATGGATTCATCCTGGGCAGGCAGCTAGCTCAGAGTGGGTGTGCGTGGCGGGGGGGAAGGTGAGGTGGTGTCTCATGGGCCCATATGCGTGGCCTTGCTGTAACCTGCTCCTGACCTAGAAAGTGGAGTCTTCAGAGCGAGGACGATTAAATGAGATCACGTCTGAACAGATCCCCGGACCCATGGAAAGTATTAAAATGGGTTTTATGCCTCAGCATCTACTAGAATAGAATTGAGTAGCTACTGCAAGGAACCGTAGAAAGTCATGCACTTCTTTTACAAATATTTGAGGTAAAAGCATCTTGGGGGAAAGGTCATATGTGTGACCTTTATTCCCTAGACATATACATGTCTAGGGGATTGCAATTTGTGACATCTGAAACTAAAGCCCAGAAGAGATAAAGCTGACTTATAAGCCAGTTAGTAGCGTATAATCACAAATTAATGAATCATGTGCTAAAAAGCCAGTAGGTTACTCGAGGCTGTGTCTAAAAGCAGAAATGAAATTCTGTCTGCGCTTGATCTATATCAGGATAACAGCCTCCGAGACCTATAAGGAGCCTGGCAGGTATCACGAATGAGTTCATGAGCTGGGACTACAAGGTGGGACTGTGGCAAACTAGAGAGCACGTCTGTTCTGTTTAAAGGCGGCAGGTCATCCCCATGTGGGAAGACGGGCCCAGTATTGCTAGACCCATTCATTTTCTAAGAGAAGTTAGAAATGGGTCCACTTTGTGTTGACCAAATAAAACGTGCTGGATGGGCTGAGTTTGACCCGAGGAATGACCCTGCTCCCGATGGTTACCTGGGCGTGCGGGCTGAGCGTAAAGGAATCCACCTGACACGTGAACAGAAGCAGCTACGTGTAAGTGCTAGTCCTTACACATTTTTCAAGATCGTTCTGGCTGGTAGTTTCAACACCCAAGTAGTACATTTCTCTCTTTCATCGTTCACTCATGAGGAACGTTTTTAATGAGAAGTGGAAGAAGAAAGAGGCAGGGGGCCTGGAAGGAACCCCAAACTGGTGACCTGCTCTTGAGTAGTCAAAAATTGGCAGGTGGCGTGTGTGTACCAACGTGTTCTTTCTGGTACTTTCACGTCCATCTGGAACTTAACAAAGTGGAGATTTGTGCCAAGATCCAGACCTGAGACAGAGAACAAAGACCATCAACAGTTTCTAAACAAATGCCAGGCTCTCCTCTGCCTCCCTGTGAGTGGCGGCGGGCTTTTAAAGAGAAAAGCCCTCTAAATCTCTGTCGACAGAATTATTTTTCCAACCAGCAGCTGGGAGTACCCAAGGTTTAAGGAATAAACTAAATGTTGAAAGAGTGTCATTGTTGGATTATTGCAATCCTCTCTCTGTTTCTGCCTTCCCCACCCAGCCAGCCCCGTGTCAAAACAGTAGCCAGCCCTTTTAAAACATTCATCACTCAGTTCATCTCTCTTTCTGACTCACAGGACCTCAGTGGCTGAATGCCTTTCAATGTCCCAAAAGGCTTTACAGAA